ACGGAGATTTTTCTTCAATAAAATTTGAGTGGATGGAGATTTCCTCTGCCCAGGGCTGGCGTAGATGAGCGAGGGTATGAAGATTCTTTTCAGGAAAGAAAACTTTCCAAATTCCATTTGAAAGCCCGGCAGCCACCGGTGGATACCATTGTCCCGAGTGAGATCTTTGTCAGCCACCGGTGGCTGCCATTGTCACGAATGGGTTAAATAGGTTAACCGCATCCATCTGACTACGATTAGAATGGAAATAGGATACGTGGCGTATTCCAAAAGGGATCTATCAATGCTGAATTCGAATACTGTTTTTGCACATACGAAATGACTCATAGTTCCTGGAAGCTTCCTGCCACTGCGAAAATCATATTACCATTGCTAGGATTAGCTCTGCACCACAATGAGTCCTCCACCGCGCCCACCCACTCACCCCCCCCCGCGTTGGGCCAAACGATAAATGATTGTTGAAAAAGATATGAGCGGTCAGGAAAGGAACAGTTTTCTCTCAGGGCTCATTACAAGAAAAAACAGACATCTAAGCACATTTACAAATATTTTGGAAAAGAAAAGGTACATATTTCGATTGGGAATAAGTAGAGTGCAAAACCGAGGAGATGAGACTAGCGGAACGAAGAGTTCAGTCAATAATTGGCCCCGACCTCCCCTCCCCCGCCGTTCGCCACTCGCCCCTTCCCGCCTTTATGGACTTCGATCAGCGCAGTTGACCCCGTCACTATGCCAAAATGAAATTTCTGTTTGATGGTCTGCTGAAGGAAGGTCGACGATTCTCAACATTCATATCAGCCGTAGTGCACCTGCGCTGTAGCTCTCGAGGGCAACAACTACTGGTCCTTCACCAGCCAGTCTGAACAGGACTGCGATCAACTGGGCCGGTGTGTATTGGGTCGGTCAAAATCGAGTGGAACAGAGCCACCCACACTTTCTTCACATCGATTTTTTTCGTGGAGGCAGGCAACTAGGTGGGCTCGAAAACAATCGCTGCGCTCGCCCGATTAGGAGAATTTTCACGACCCTCGATGCAACCACGGTGAACAGTCCATTCGGCCGATCGAATCCGGAGAGTCGTATTTAGCATACGAAGGGGGAGGGGGATGGGCTGGTAAAGCAAGGGCAGAAGGCTGTGACTGTATTGACCTCTTTTATGAACAAAGGTGGAAACGGGTAAGGAGTAGGGGATTGAATCCTCTAGTTCAGGCATTATCATTAACACAACAAGGACCAGAATGGCCGGCATCGCATGCCATAGCACGACTGGATAGTTGTCCAAATACTTTTGCGATTTCGAAACCACAGCTGTGCGCGTGGCGCATTCCAGAGCGAGCGTTGCTGGCGCGTCCTGAAGTAGGAGGTGCTCATTTCTTCAGAAAATCCATTCACCACTTAGCGAAAACTGTGCACCTTTAAGGGAAAGGTTGGGAAGCTTCTGGAATTGAAACTCACGAATGTCGATTTTGAAGGGAGTTACCGTTCTCAAGGTGATACTTCATAACGTACTCTTTCTCGACGTGCGCATGAGTGCTGACACGCCAGTTTCCGACGCAGCAAGTGAGTTTGTATTGATTTCCATACAGAGAATCAAGAAAAACTTTTGTTATTAATTT